TCAGTTTCCTCATTAGATAAATATACATGCTCATCGTTTTCTCTATATTCTTTTGCATTGTTAAGTGCTCTTTTCCATAATCCAACAATAACTTTAGAATTTACCTTTTCTTTGAAAGCCCAGAGAAGTTTATTTCTAATTTCAAGAAGATTTTTATGCGGACCTGACCTTGCTACTTCACCCTTAACAACTGCCCAAACGCCTTCAATTGGTTGAAGTTCACAGTGATAAGGTGGTGTAAAAAAAAGTCGGTGACCATGTTGTTTAGCTATTTCTACACAAGCAAACGGAACTTTCTCTTTGTTTTGTCGAACAAAGCTCGAGAAGTTCTGCTTTATATGCATCAATAGGGACAACAACTTCTTTACGAGTCAGCCAATCGATAATTTCAGATTTCTTTGAAGCAGAGGTAGGTATGTTTTCGATTCGCCTTTTATGATAGCGTGCGCCATCCATATGAATATCAACTCCTCCATATTTTTCTTCAACTGTGGCACATAGTTTCGTAAATAAAGATTCAAAAATTTCAGCATTGAAATTGCCATGATAATCTATCTGATCAGGTACAATTGCAGTATCTCTAAGAATGTCAGGAATATTATCCCAAGCTTCTAAATTAGATCGTTTTCGTCCTCGACTTGATTGTGGTTTGATTGCTGGATCCCAAATGTAAATTGAGTTTGGAACAATCTCACCATATGTTTTGTTATGGTTTCCATTTCGAAAAACAACAATTGCTCCAAAAATTACGAGAAGTGGACCACGACCCGGTGCTAAAACAACACCCTGATGAGGAACCCAAGTGTTAGGTGAAGTGTGATGAAGATGGCAGTATGATTCATCTAAAAACACTTCAGGTCGATTTGGAATATCATTGTTTCCCTGTAAATTTGATAAGCGACTACGAATGTATTGGCACCGAAATGATACGTTGTTTGGGGATTCATGTAAAATATTCCTACGTTCGCCGTGGCCGTAATAGTAACCTATTGTGTGCAACAAACGAAGAAGTTTCCACTTAGAAAGCGTAAACCCATTCTCAGCAAGATATTGCCGCAGAATTGGCGTTGAAACAGGCGTTCCAGCTTTGTTTGCATTGGTAATTTTTTCACGTAAAAGTGTAATAATATCAGGGCTCGGCTGCAATCGCGGCCGTCCTATATTTTTTTGTTCTGCAAATGAGCCATTTTTACACTTATTCCATTTATGAATAACCCGCCCAACTGTACTTTCTGAAACCCCCAGAACCTCAGCAACACGCTTGCGTAGTGTAAACTTTTGACGTTTTTTAGATGAGGAATTCTCCTCTGAAAAGTATTTGTG